AGGAGATACTTGCAAATGATGATTGTTGATATGCATCAATAAAAGCTTATTTATTCTTGATTATAACTCCTTTCATAATGTTAGAACGAAGAACAGCAAATAACACAGTTTTGACACTGTTTTCTTCGCAAAGAGTTTTTGGAAATGTTATTTTTCAATATCAATAATATTTTATTATTGGTTGTTTTAATGTCAAAATTATACAGTGTAACTTACATATAGTGTCTCAAAAGGGACCAAAAGTAATTACTGCTGTGGTCGTTCTATAGAAGTGACTGTTGACATAAGTAGATACTTTGAAAATATTAAATATTGTCTAATTTTATTGAGTAGAACAAAATCATTCATATTATACAATATCGTTGACATAATATGCTGATAAAGTTTTATGATTTTTATATTTCCATGAATTAATTATCGTGCTTTATTTTTTATGAGATATGTGGCTAGATTTTTCCCTTTGTTAAAGTTACCTTCAATGATGTTTATGCTCACATTTTTCCCTCTCAAAATTCTAACAACATGATTTTTTTTTATGTTTATGTTAATTATTTAATTGCCATAGCATACTCTTCAAGTAATAGCATAAACTTCAACGCCTTCAAGTAATATGAGACATTTTTTAATACTTGTTAAAATACACAAACTCTTATTGGTTGCATTACCAAATGAGTTTGATATGATAACTATTAGCTGCCATAAATAATTGAAAATAATTTATTTTTAGTATAATATACTCTGTATTATAGAGGTATTAATACATTTTTTTACAGTTTTTATTAGGACAAAAAAATAATATACTGTTTTTAAAAATTACATTTAATCAATGTTTTTCTGTGATTGTCATAATATTTATGAATCTGGGAAAAATTTGGGAAATCTGTTTTGAAAACAGTCAACATTTTAAAGTAGATACATAATATTGTAGTATTTATTTATAAAATGTTGAACAATTTGTTATCAGAAAATATTAATTAAGTGGCCTACATGAAGTATGGCCCATCAGCATAGTTTTAAATTTCCCAATATGCTAATTCGCCTCATGTAAACAATATTTTGCTTTGTTATGTATCGCATAAAGCATATTCAATAATTATTAAATAAGATTCTAATTTCTAGCTTATAAGTTATTACTTGAGATATTTTTAAAATTTTACTTTAAGATAGAATGAGCTAAAATTATTATTAATATATTTATTCGATAAATATATAGTTTATTTTATGATCCCAGAAATAATGTATTACTTCTATACACTTAATAACTTATAGTTGTTACTGATTTTTGAACTAATATTTATTTCAATACACAAATATTACTTATATATTTTAAATCAATTTTTATGGTGAATACAAAAAATATGCTTATGAGTTATGACTATTGGATTGGATATATTATTGTAATCATATTTTTAATATTCTTAATATTAATTATTATTTTTAGTTAAAATCCATTAGCGTATCACGTAACTCACTTTAAACATTAATGGGGTTTTTTTCTGGTTATTTATATTATATTTATTTCCCAAAGAATGTGTTGTGCAAATAACCTTGTACATTTTTATTTAGACTTATAAACATTTTAAAAAAGCAAAAAAAATGTTTTCAATACCAAGTATATTAATTTGTCAAGATATGACTTTAGGAAAGAAATTATAATTATAAAAAAAATATAAATATGTCATTGTGTAACATTTTATTATGAATATTTTAATGTTTGGTCTATGGTGTTTGCTTTTCCAAACCTAAAATTACTTATTATTGAGAAGTACAAAATGATTATTGAAAGTGTGATGCAACTTTTAGTAGCTAATAAATATGTGATGTGAAGAAAATAAGTTTGGGTGCTGATAATGTCTAGTATTGATTCATAATTTATTAAAACTTAAAAATTTAAATTAAGATGTAGATACTTATGTCAAATAATGCATTTTACAGTTATTCTGAAATTTTATATTTGGGTTTTATTTAAAAGGTTAGTTGTTAAGTTTACTATTTACAATTTTAAGTTTAAGTATATTATTTAAATAGCTTTAGAAGTAGTGTTTGTATTTACAACTAATTGTATTTCTACAATTGTATAAATATATATAATTCACTAAATTAGTTATGTCTTGAATTGTAATCTCAACATGTTACTTAGATATTGTTAACATAAACCGTTATATTCTATATTTACGTCTCATTTGAATTGATAACAATGGACAGCTAAATAGTAAAATGATAATTGTGTGGTAGCACCTAAATCTCTTTTAAATTATTAATCAGTAATACAACATTTAACTAAGACTAATTACGACTAGTGATATTTGCCTAAAAATTGGATAAAAATAATCCATTTTAGAGAGGAAGCAAACCTCAATGATTAAAATAGTTACTGCAATATTATCTGTGTATAATATGTATGGTTTACTACTATTACTATATTGATTCAAATTACAGCAGCTCATTTGCACTTTGTAATATAGAACAATAAAATAGTAAATTTATTTTATTGATATTTGATAGATTGAAATCTGTATTTGTTTATTTTAAATTAAGTATTAAATTACACTAGATTAATTTATATTTTGTATTATAAATACAAATCTGACATTTAAATTGTGATACAATATATTAAGTAAATAATTGAACTTTCTTAATATAATTGAATAATTCACTATTAAATATAATAAATCCTTTCCAAAAATTAAATTAACATTGGGGTATTAAATTTACCAATTGATCAACTCAATAAGTTAATTAATAAAAACTCATCTGTGATTTTATAATTAGATAACAATTTAATGAATTTCGTAAGATTTTTAAATGATAGTTTAAGTTAGTGTTAAGAGTGAGACCATCTGCGCGTTTGCTGTCTGCCTAGAAAAAGTCCATCAATCATTAAGCAGCCGATTAAAATGACCATCATCAACAATAACTACTGTGAAAATTCATCAATGCATTGTTTTTAATTTGTTTACAGGCGCCGCTGATCCATCCATTTATATTATATAAATACAAGTTTGCGCAAGACTGTATCTTTGAAATTTATGTATCCATTTTGTAGATTATACAAATATCATGGGACATATTTAATAATGTATTTTTAAGATATCAATCTTTTATTTTTATTTATGTGCGGGTGGTTTAAAATACATATTATTATCAATAATAATGAACATTTTAATGTAATCGTTTTTCCCTAGTTTTCAGTTTTAAAATTTTTTACTTAAAATGTGTCGTTATTCTGTCTGTATTACACCTTAATAATTGTACCTATAATTGTTATGATTGATATTTAATAATAGTGCATTGCGACAGCTTATGACATCTGGATCTTGGAACTCAACACAATTTAGACTAGATTATTTAGGTACCCAATTTTTGTATTACACATTATTACATAATTATATATTATTTTTTTTTTTTATGCTTAAATCATTCTTAAGCATTTTATTTTATTATGATAATGTTTAACAATATTTATCATACAAAATCTATTTAATACATTAGTCTAATAATAAAACGTATGTATTAGATTTAAGGTGAATTTTTATTTTTTCATTTTCTGCCCTTTGCGTCATTATCGTCTCATCTGTATATATTTTTGTTTTATTTATTATTATTTTTTTTTTTTGACTTGTACTGTTTTGTCAAGACCTCTATACTCATATATATATATTTATATATATAAACAAAAAAATACTAAAACGTGTTTTAACATTTTATTACTTTTATTTGTTTTGATGAAATATAATTGTAATCATTGTGTATGTAGGTTTAAATTATTATTTTTTTTATAATATAATTTCTGATTTTAAACAGTAATTAAAAATGAGTTAAAGTGAATGATGATTGGTTACAACTGTATGTCGTGTAAGTAAATCGAGTAGATTTGGTTGTGGCATCACATTTATTGTAGGTAGGCTTACAACTGCTCGGTTCCAAGTACAATTTTCTGAACCTAGGAAAGTTTTATCAAAATGAAATCAATTTTACATAATTTTTAATCCTCGTGTTTGGTACCAGGAACACCTTCATTATAATATGGTTAATGGTATAATATTGTTGTATGAAATATAATATTATGTAGAAGAAAAAAAAATTGTAAAAAAAAAAAAAAATTGTAAAATTGTACATATCAGTAGGTTTAGATAGAACCGGATCTTCCTGGCTAGGAACGCCTTAATTTAATTAAATAAAAAAAAAGTGAAATAAAAAGAAACAAGTTAATTGTTTGCATACTTAGATTGTCTATTCCCTAGACCCTAACAATTAATTCCAGGCGAGTTGTAGAGGTGTATTATTTAATTTCATAAAAATACACTTATTATTATAATTCTGTGGTCCAAAGAGGACGATGATGTCCAATGTTGTGTAGTGTGCACGCCGTCTTGCTGATGGAAAATATATTATGTTGGATTAACTAAGTTTATTTTTTTGGTGTCCTTAAATAGTCGCATGCTAAGCAGATGTTGGTGCTAACACCGCGGCCAAAGAAGTTGTATACCGTTCATCAGATCCCATTGGCCCACCCGCTGATAAAATTCGATCCGCTGATAACAAAACGTTCACAAAAATATACCAATATTATATCTTTAATCGTGGTACTGTGGTAGTAAGTTGTACTATAAGTTACCACTTATAACTAGTGGCGTGCGGCCGTAGAGTAATATTATTATTATTATTGTTGTAATAATATTGTCATTTGTCACGGCTTTGATAAATAATTAGTAATTACACACAAGTTCGACGATCGGTGTCCACGCGCTACGCATGTTGCATGTTGAACTTCAGTATAACATCGTGAGAGCCGTGCGATCGAACGTAGGACGAAAATGTGAACATTTCTGTATAAAAAAAAAACGATTATAATATCGGTAAAATTTTTCAAATTTCTTGTTCGCTAACCCGCGGCACTATTGCTCTCGCGGATACCATGAAATAATAGGCAACCCCCGGTGTTTGCGGTGCACATAATACGTATTATTGATATATTATATTAGAAATAATATTGTAAAATGTCTGGTTAGTGAAACGTTGTTATTATAATATTTGTCTTGTTGCGAGTTAAACGATTGATTGATGCAGTATAGTGAAAATATGTTTTTAGGCCGCAATAGTAAGAGACCATCGGGGCTAAAGGTTCTGATCCGCGACGAGCCGACAGTTGTGTAAGCACACAAACATTTTAAATTACATTATGTTCTACCTATTGTATTATTCTTTTACTAATATAAAAAACTTGCCTTGTTTCGTGGATGCGATTTGACGATTTTGTTTTCTCCCCTGTAGTAACCTGCCCCGAAATCTGGATAAACGCACCACGATCACGATCGGAGACCAGGAAACTACAGTCGAGGCGAGCGACCTGCAGAAAATTTGCGATCTCGGACGCGGTGCCTACGGCATTGTGGAAAAAATGAGGCACATACCTTCCGGCACGATCATGGCTGTCAAGGTGAGTGAACTGATGACTGTATATGATGCTGTGTACCATATTCAACGACCAACGTGACGTTTTTACATCTTTCCAGAGGATAGCTGCTACAGTAAACACCCAAGAGCAGAAACGACTTTTAATGGATCTGGATATATCTATGCGGTCGTCCGCTTGTCCACATACAGTGCAGTTTTATGGGGCACTATTTATGGAGGGTGATGTATGGATATGCATGGAAGTAATGGACACTTCACTGGACAAGTTCTATGCCAAAGTGTACAAGTTTGGACGAAAGATTCCTGAACAAATTCTTGGACCTATCACTGTAGCGGTACTTAATTTTTATGTTTTTATTAGCTTTCACAATAATTTTTGATATAAGTTAGGTTAGGGTGATACAGTTTGTAAACAACACAAAAAACAATTTGTCCAAATATTTTCTGTATGACTTGTTTGTTCTTAATTCCCATAGACATTAATATATTAACTAGCTATATTAATTTAATTTAATTATAAGTATGTCTATGTCTTATAATGTCAAGTTTAACGCAATAATTATTGCAAATTTGATACGTCTTTAGTCTTGTTATTCATTTAGCATTCATGCACATAAAAATAAATTCATGTATTTTAATTTTTATAGGTTGTTAGTGCCCTTCATTATCTGCATTCTCAATTGAAAGTTATACATCGTGATGTCAAGCCATCAAATATTTTAATTAATCGTAATGGCAATGTAAAAATGTGTGATTTTGGTATATCCGGGTATCTTGTTGATTCTGTGGCCAAGACTATTGATGCAGGATGTAAACCTTATATGGCGGTAATTATATTTTTTCTTAAACTTATAAATTAACATTGTCTTGATTTATAAATTTATTTTTATACATAGCCTGAACGAATAGATCCTACTGGAAATCCATCAAATTATGATATACGTAGTGATATATGGAGTTTAGGAATATCTCTTGTGGAACTTGCTACTGGTAAGTTTCCATATGATACGTGGGGCACTCCATTTGAGCAGCTCAAACAAGTGGTCAAAGATGAACCACCAAGGCTGTCTACTGGTATGTTCACATCATACTTCGAGGATTTTATTTGTCAATGGTAAGTGTGATTGATAATTTATTATTCATTTTTTTGAGTGATTAATTTGAAATATATTATCTTGGATTTTAATATTTTCAGTTTAAAAAAAGATTTTCGTAGCAGACCAAATTACTCTCAACTACTTGCCCATCCATTTTGTCTTGCTCACCAACAACCGCAGACAGCATTAGTTGCATCTTTTGTGTCTGAAATTTTAGACTTGCCTGATTTGCCTGTGTCAGGCTAAATTAATATGGCAATTAATCCACTAACAATAATATATTTATAACAATATTTGTAATATTGTGTATAAACTATAATTCAATTGAAGTTTATTTCACATAATATTTAAATTATTATTAACAACTTTTATATTGGTAAATTTGTTATTTACCAATAAGTCATAAGTAATAATATAATGTCGAAGATAGTTTACTAAAGTATTTTTAATATTATTTGTATGATATTAGTTGTAACGAGTGATTTGTGTTTTAGAAGATCTTGGTTTATAGATTTTTGTGTTTTCTTTTGTTTTCTTTTTATATAATTGCATCAATTCTTAAAATTTAAGGGTTACCCGACTAATATTTTAGTACTTAGCACATTGCTATCTAACCGTTAGTTTTGTTTTTACGTACCATAGTGTTTTCATGTGATAATGTTAAAAAAGCGATCAAAAATCTGTACCTGTTTATATTCTACCATATTAGTGCAATATATCTGCTCTCGCATAAATTATTTTTGAATTGTTTTTTATCTATTAAAGTTATTATACTGTAATTAGTTCTCCCAACTAATGGTAGCTATGTCTACAGCCATCCATCTTCTATTTCTATTAGGTTAAACCTAACCATAATGGGAGTGGATTTTCAGTGTCCATACCTAGGAGATACCTGTCATAATAGTATAATACTAGTAACAATGTTTTATTATGTGTACCAATAGTAGACTTAAAAGAGTTTAAAAAAAAAACTTATTATATTTAAATCATACAAAATTACTAACCAATTTTTAATCCTTTTTTTTCAAGTGTTGATTTAACTTATAATCAATTATCAAATGAAAGTCAAGGAACATTGGCATATTTGGTGTTTTGTTTTGGGGGTAGGGGATTGACAGTGCATGTTCAACAATTTCCAATTTTAAAATTATAACTCACTTTAAAATTAGAATATTAAACAAATCTATGAGATTCACTGTAATATTAAACATAACAGAATTATATGGAATAGGTATCGAAATCTAACAATTTGCTATGTTATGTATTTGTAAGACTAAGACAACACAATATGTGGGTGTACTGTGTACACTACAGTAAAGTGAACGTAAGAGCCAAAATATACCCATGAAACTTGTAAAATATGCAAATTTAAATTTCTTATATCCATTCCTTAATCCTTATGATGTCATGAAACAAACTTATAACTTGTATAGTTATTTTCGAAATTATCTATAAAAACATGCAATTGCTATAAATTCCAATCACTGATAATACATTTTGGGTTCCGAAAAAAAAATATAACTAATTTTTATTGTCTGTTAAACAATGTAAAAACCATTATTTTTAAAATAATTTTTTAAATAAAAAAAATGTATAACCCTATACTTTTATTTTTTAAGGTCATGTTTATTAGGTATGTTAAGCATATTTTACTATTTAAACTTTTAAGACATCGCATATTTGAGTATTTTTTAGTGGAATAAAATTCGAACGTTGGTTATAACTAGGGCTCGGATTTAAATGCCCTAAAAATATCAAAAAAATGCATTTATGACCTAAAAACTCTAAAAAATGCCCTAAAAATATCAAAAAATGCATTATTTATTAAATAAATTCAAATTTAATTATTAAAAAATGAGGAACAAATAAAATTCTAACAAAAATTCTAAATTCTAAATTAATAAATTATATTACAATGTACAAAAAAAAAATTAAAATTAAAAATTAAATTATATTTGCATTGTATTGTACAATAAGTATTTCTTTAATGTTTTGGAATTTAAATGATCGACGGTTGTCTGCCAATAAGTCATAATACGACAAATAGGTCAAAAATGTCCTAAAAAATTAAAAAGATGCATTAAAACCTTCAAAAAATGCCCTAAAAATGATGAAATCCGCTAAAAATGCAAAAAAAGCAAAAAAATGCCCCAAAAAATTATTATGGTTAGATTACGAAGTACTTGAAACATATTTGTAGCTTGGAAAGCATCTCGTAAGATATCCCAAAAAAAAGATGCAAATGCATTGAAATCCGAGCCCTAGTTATAACTTATAAGTTATAATTAATAAAAAATTCAAGAAGTAGATATAGTGAATGACTAAACAAGTTTTTATATATTATGGCAGATTTTAGGCACTGCATTTAACTTAAGATGTTGGTACTTCACAGTTCCTGGTTTTTGAACGGGGGAAAAAAAGGCACTTTATCTGACACCAAAACTTTAACTTTAGTTTTTAGGCTTTTTTATTTAAAAAAATGTGAATATAGTTATTGAAATAATGAGTATCTCTAAATACGTATTATAAATTATTTGTGTAATATACTTTGGAAAATGTTAGTTTAAGTTTTAGTGGTTTTACCATGCAGAATTTAATATAATCGTCGTAATTATTGTTTAAATCAGTAGTTCTCAACCTTTTTTGATTCATGTCACCTTCAGCCACTAGAATCAAACACTGCGTCACCCTAACATCAAAATAATAAACAATCATAGCTGTATATTTTAAAGATACGAACTTTGAGGTATGTTATGTACATGACAGTGGTGGTATAGGTGTATAATTTATTTATTATAGGAAATAATATGATTGTTTTCGAAAAAATAAATTTTTTTCCTTTTCTTGTTAAAATTCTGCGTCACCCTTAAGCTAGGTCCATGTCACCCTAAGGTGACATACTGACATGTCACCCCAGTTGAGAACTACTGGTTTAAATAATTAACACACTTGATAAATGCACGAGGTATGACTAAGAATGATTTGATAAAAATAAATAAGACTACATTTTGAAACTTAAATATTGATCTACGGGAAACTGGTTATTGACACTGTAGTCTGTAAGTATATAACCAGTTGGATATATCTACTGTGAGTAGATCCAACTAATTAACTAACCTAACTAAAAAAATTCTAATTTCAAACGTAAGTCGTAACACTATTTTATTTTCATGATCCACCCTTCATTTTCATTGATTCTTAAAACAATACAATTTTAATATACACTGGCTTAACCATTTTAAGTTTTTACTTTTTAGAATTAGATTAAATAATAATTTAGTACCGAAGGAATGGAATTTTAAGAATATTGTTAAAATAAAAAAGTTTATTTACAGCGTTAAAATCTACCTACCTATTTGTAGAAGAATTTTATTAGGTATTTGATATTTCGTTTACGGTATACCTACCTACTATTAGTTATTACCTATGTTATTACTTATTAGATGATACTATGTAGGTATTAATTATTAATACGTAGGTAATTCGAATGTTAAAAAAGGTAGAAAGGTTTAAAACAATATTCGTAAAGGTATTAGGTAGGTATGTACACAATATACATATATTATTATACCGCTATACACCATGATGGTTGTTTGATTAAGAACCATTTTTTATTTTTGTATCGATGTGTTAAAAACGTAAAACGTCATAAATTAAAATATTTGTGTAGATTCGTGTCTGAAATCGCAATGAAATACATGTACCTAAAATTTAGATTATATACCGTCACGAAATGTATTTTTTTCCCTTTTAACCTTACCATACCAGGCGTGGTATCCAGGGCCGGATTGGTATGTATCGGCCCATCGAGATTTTCACTTCTATAAGCAGCCCATTTACATATTCAGTGACCCAAAATTACGTCCATAATTATAACAAGCTTGTAGGTGGCCAATCGTATTTTAAACATGAATTTATTTTCACCGGTGCACACGAATTGCGTACCAAGTCAGGTAAACGAAAATTTTTGAACGAATTGCGTCCCGGACGCAATTCATGTTAATTTTTGCCTTAACATATTTTTATATATTAACTTAAGCTTTTTTAGCAAAATAAATATATTTTATGTAGATGGAACTTTTGAATACTGTACTAAATTTTTCTGTCAGTTATTCACAATTCATGGATTACATAATGGTTATTATGTTCCACTTGTATTTTTTTATTAAAAGATAAACAAACATTGAGTTACTTTGAGGCATTTAAAGCAATTAATCACGATATAAGCAAAATAAATCCCTCATTTTCCCCAACAATAATTTACGTGGATTTTGAAAATTCAATACACAATGCAGTTAATAAAACATGGCCAAAAACCTTAATAAGAGGTTATCGATTTCATCTCGGCCAGTCTTGGTGGAGAAAAATACAAGAACTAGGCTTGGCTTCAGACTATATCCAAAATAATGAAATAGGCAAGTACTTAGCATTGACATTTGGATTATCTTTCCTAGAACCACAAGAAATTGGAGATATTTTTTAGTTTGAAATGTCTGCTATTCAACCAGATGAACACAAAATTACAGAGTTTGCTAATTATTTAATAGATACATACCTACATCCATGAAAATTCAATTTTTCCTCCAGACTTATGGGCAGAAAAAAGTTCAAGCTCACAAAGAACCACCAACGCTTGCGAATCTTTTCATTCAAAATTTAACAAATTTTTCGATTCTCCTCATCCAAATATATACACATTTTTAGAAATTTAAAAAAATATGCAAACCAATACAACAATATTGATAAGAATGAGTCTAGAAAAATGACGAGTATACCAAGAAAACCAATAAAGGAAAGAATACAATTTATAGAAAATAAAATAAATCAATTAAATAATAATGAAATCACAATCAAAGATTATGTTAACATATTAGCCAATAAATATAAATACAGACAAAATTAAATTAATACTTGTGATATTAACAATTACTTATAACGGATAACCTATGATATTATGATTTTACAATTTAAATTTTTTAAAAATATGTGAATATATGACGATTTATTATAATATACGATATTATGTTTTCACTTTAAGAACCTCTCACCTCTAGATAAAAAGGTAACATGAATTGCGTCCGGGACGCAATTCGTTCAAAAAGGTTCGTTTACCTGTTTTGGTACGCAATTCGTGTGCGCCCATTTTCACTCACACTCATACGACCGGCCCAAACTTCAAGCTTATAAAATACACGGAATAAACCAAATAATAGACGAGAGAAAAAATATAACAAAACTAGAAATATTTTTAGAACCGAAAAAAGGTAGGTAACAAATAATACATTAGCGTAAGGTTCGGATTTTATACACAATATTATTAAACACCTTCACTACTGCATGTAATCCTTTTCAACATCAATTATCCACGATGCCGATGATTATTGCGTAGAAACGTTTGCCAAACAGTGGCGCACAGCAGGGCCCGGACGTCGCTGCAATTTTATCCGTTGGCACTATTCGGTCGTATATTTTCGTAAGTAGTATGACGTGTAATAATTCAGCTCTGATTGCAGGTACCTCTGTCGTAGCCATCGGCGACAGAAGAAAAACTTTTTATTTCGGAGGTCTTGTCGTCTAATACCGTAGGCAGCGTGATAGCCTGTAAGGCATGCGTGCATGACGTTTTATGGGTTTCCGGTCTCTTGACTTCCATAGTTCCATACAATACCTGCTCGGCTGCCCATATAGTTATACTTGGTCTTATAATAAACGGCTGTGGTTTGTGTAGGTATAATAAATAATAATTAATGATAGTAATTATAGGATTTTATTTCCAATGTAACTATAGAGGGTGCGGGCAGGTCGCTAATTAAGTGTTTAAAAAATACGTATCTAATCTCGTATGAGAATACCTATTATAGTAATTATATAATGCACGAAACATCGATTAAAAATTAATAGTTGCTACATATTAATATATTATTATGTTTATTATTTTTTTATAATATCGAACGAATGTTCTTAATCCGGGCTTGGGTCCAGGTTTTCCAGGACTCACTAACCAGGACTATACTGTATATATTTTATCTTGACTTTGCACGAGTGTTATTAATTCTGTAATTCGTAATTGTACGATGTATTTTATGATCTTTATATACTCTCACAGTTGCACCGATGCCAAATCCATTTTGTCTGCTATAGTCTATAGATGTTAAAGTGGAAGAGGAATAATGTATAATATATTATAATATGCATTGCAATTTCTGATAATTCGGATGCGGAGCCAAAAACGAATTACATATTATTTTCCTCAATTTTGTTTGCAAGGGTACGGTTGTAGGTACTTTAAGAAATTTCGTTTTTGGTGATAAATATTGATATATCTGCTGTTATGGATAGAAAAGACGAAAGAAGATCAAGGACGAATAATACCTAAACATTTATTTTTATTTAATTATGTAGGTAGGTAGGTGTATTCATGACAATATGACCTATACGTACTTATGCGTTGTGACTTATATTTTTCACATAGATATATATCATATAATATATAGTATCTATGATTTCTCATTACAATTTTCATCTTTATCAAAGATGTTTAACTGCCTATAAGATTGTTTGCCATTTTACTGATTTTAGTAAAATAAATATTAAATTTGAATAAACATATAGAATTCATTAATACATTTATATAGGTACTTGTATATATTATGTTTTAAAATCATCAATCACTCACATTTAATAGAAAAAAATAATAGTTTAGTATGATCTTAGTAGATCTTTAAATGTGCATTACACATAATTATTGTTTATAATATCATCGTAGGTACCTACATAGGATATTGAAATATTAACATAACAACTTGTCCTAGTATCATGGCATCATGTAATATATTATAATGTATTTAAACTATACCTTTCGATACGTAGGTACTTGGACCATTTCGGGTTTTGAATTATCATACGTTATTATTACTAGTAGGTACCTGTATATTTTTAAGTAACCATTACGTAATTCTTGAACTATTAAATATTAATTCTTTATTTTAAAACTGGTAAATTACATATGGGGTTTTTATATAAACAAAAACACATTTTTGTTTGCATACGGTATCTAATTTTAATGTAAATTGTACTTTAACTAAAATATAAGTAAGCACTACATTTAGGTTACGTTACTTCATCATACTTATGTAATACGATTGATATTATACAAATATACAGTGGCGTCCGCAGAATTTTTTAATAGGGGGGGGGGGGCTTGAAAATTAGCTACTATTTTATTTTTATTTTGTCCAGTCTAATAATTTCAGACGTTTATTTGAGGTGTTTTAAAATGTTTGTAACTTTTCAACTTTTCTGGTAGAAAAAATAGTCTGATCATAAGCTTCGATGCCCAGTGTATGTTTTTGGAAGCAAATTGGATCTAGTTGGTACTTTTAGTAGGTCGAAATTGGAAATGCTCAGTGCTTTTAAAAATAATTGGAGAAAAAAAAATGAAAATTTATTTAAATTGTTTGGTAACAAGCTTGGTTATACCGTCCTCACTTGGATTGTATCTGATTAATTCAATTTTTTTTCTATAAATGTCAATAAAAAATTATTTATCTGGTCAAAAAGCTTAAAAATGTAATACGTAAGTTTTTTTTATTATAGCTAATGTATTAACGATACATAGGCATCATGGTTATTTTTTATAAGCATTTAAAGTTCAAATTTCGTCAAAACCGCAGTTAATTTGTAGTTCAAAACTTATAAAATATAAAATATGTATAGCTAAGGCTAGACAATTTAATACGAGGTCTTTCATACAAATAGTTCATACTTTTACCGAATATTTACAGATAATTTATGAAAATTGGTATGCAAATACAATGTTTTTTCAAAAATGAATTCATTTTGGTAAAACATATATCAAATTTACGTCTTGCTTACAATAGTTGACAGTTTAAATTTGATTAATATTTTTTTGAAAAAGTAATAATAATATGGGCAATTGGGAGGAGGCTTCGGCCCGTTACCCCTCCCCCCTATAATATTGAAAAAATGTATCAATTGAATAATATTATATTCATTACCATCTACGACCTACTCTTATAGTTATTACATTATTATTATATATGATTAGTAGAGCAACTCACTAGCAAGGACTTTCATGCATGTGCATAATTTTTTTCTGGTTAACTTAATCGTATGCTTCGTAAGTACACAATATATTTCACAACGTTTGTGATCTGCGTGATCAACGTTTTTGATGCATATTTTGACATTTTTGAGTTTAAAGGATATATTTTTGATTATAAGAGAATATTTCCTTTTTTTGGTTTTTGACAGTTTATCGAACATCAAGCACTTCGGTAAATATTTTACATGAATCAAGGTCAACAATTATACTAAATTTAAATAAATAATGAGATCTGTATTGGCTGTATTATTGTTTTTTTATACATATAGGTAAGTACATAGAAAATTGAATTAAGAAAGTACCTAAAATATATAAAATATTTTTAGTGTAATATGGGCGGGTAATTTTTTTAGGGCATATTAATTAACTGCATATTTTTCGTTATTTGACGTAAAAGTGTATATTTTTAAATTAAATTAATACATAAATTATAAATATAATTAAAATATTATAATTTACAACTTTCTAATGTTCACATTTTTTTTTATCATCCCTAAAATTATTTTTAATTATAAAACATGGTACTTATTAATTTAGTAAGTAGGTACATACAACAATAGTAGGTATACCTAATTGAATGATTATTTTTGTTATTAAAATAGGGTTGAGATAAGTGTAATATTTTTTCTTCTTTGTTTTTGATATACAAATTTACTAAAACGTTCATAACTCACTTAAAAATTAAAATATCGTAAAAACCAACGAGAGAACACGGATAATGTTGTTACCTAAAAGTTTGATAATAGGTCGATTCACTCTAATATCAAAACTGACAATACCCTATGGAAACTAGCAAATGAAAATTTGCTTGCCGTACTTGTGTAAGACGGAGACAACACATCCGGGTGAGACGTCCTCTTAATGCGAATGCACTGTTGATCGGCAGACAATAAAATAAAATATAAAATATAATAATATAAATGTATAATTTAGAAAAACCAAACAATATACGTAGGTGTTATACAGAGTGTAATATTCAAAAATCAATACAAATAGTATTATAGTAAAACTACTGAAAATAAAATTACGTATGTACCTAGGTTCTACATATTATAATACACAATATAAACTATAATACACTTCTAACTTCTTTAACTAAATATTATTGTTATTTTATTTTTTTAAAATATAACTGTACATACATTTGGTCCATTCATAGGGTTGTTAGCGAAATTTTATTAAATTTGTTTTTTATAGGTACCCAACATTTGGATGAGCCACTTTGTGGAGAATCCTACAATGATAAAAATTACCAAATTTGTATAGAAGGTAACTAGGTTATCACATACGTATAATATAATTCTATACATACATCATAAATAGGCCATTAACTAGTTAATATCTAAGATGCATCAAGATGAATGATAATATATAGCCTTATATAGGTTATAGGTATAGGTACCTAACTGCCATTAAACAAGATTAACAATTGCCAATTGGTAATGACTAGGCGTTGGGGAAGGGCTAGATGACAAATGTACTTCAACATGTAGGTACTTTTATAAAAAAATAGGTATTAAGTTAAAGTTTCTATTGTGAATAAAGTATTCAGCCCCCATAGCCCCCTTTGGTACATAATGACAATATGTTAATATTTATTCAAATCATTTTGTTTTTTTTTTTTATTTTTATTTTAGAACCATTTAGTTGATAACTATTACAGTTCAACAATTACAGATAGTGATTACATAAACCAATTAAAAATTAAAATATGCATAGAAGCATTAGAAATTGGTGGTAATTAGACGATAAATATACAAAAGGTATTGATGTGAAAATAATGGTCATGATTATGGATTCGGGGAAGATATAATTAAGGAGAGACGGTATTCTTAGATAGTAATGAGTTTAAGAGTGTGTATAAAAGTGAAATTGATGGGGTAATGAGGGAATTTAGTTGCGTAACAAACTGAGATAAAATTTTTGAAATAAGTTTATTGTTTGAGTTGCTTGAAGTTGCTTCTGCGTATGTCTTGGCCCTGGATTTTTTTCTTTGTATCGGGTGTGCGCGGACGGGGGCACGACTGTGACTGGCAAGACCAACTTTGAGGGCACTAATGGTGGTACAGGTGGCGTGGTCTTGAGGTGGCTATTCTGATGATAAGTGTTCAAAAATTTCGTTAATGAAGGACAACCTTTATAGTTCGCGGTATGTGCGCCAGAACATAACGCACATTTCGCACACAGTTCCAAAGATTTGACACAGTTCACGGTGTTATGATTGCTGCCGCATTTGACACAACTTGGTGATTCACTATACAGTAAGAGCGAGTGTGACCGTATCGCTGACATTGTTTGCATTGTGGAGGGTAACAGGATTGATGCGGTTTTTCGACAACTATTTTGGAGTTTTGGAGGAAGGATAATTGGAAAATGCTCCGGTTAAAATCCATTGCTTCTAGAACAACGGTAAATAGTGGTAGAGCCTGTTTGCTAACTCGGTGGCGGACGTTTAGCACACTTATGATTGAGAAGCCCTAATCCCGGAGGGCCCTCTCTATATCTTCAACAGGTATAGTATGATGTAGATAGCGGATAAACACTTTGAATGGGTGGGTATGACGGGTGCCCACGTATGGCATTCTAAATCCGAGTCGTTGCAATATTCGACAAGTTTATGGAAACCATCACAGTTACGAAGTTTGATAATTAGTTAGGAACCCTTGGCGGTAGCCGTAAAACCATAAATATGAATTAGTATAAAACGATTTAATTTAAATGTTATGAAAATGTCATTGTCAAAACTATAGAAAAATATAAAATTATGAAGCAATTTGGTGAAATCCAAATCCACGGAGAACTTATTATTACACGTTTCATTCTTTCCATGATATCGCAGTGTTTTTGGTTTTTTTCAATGAACTTTGCTAGTTGTTGATAATATTATTATGTTTTTTTGGTCAAAAATCTTGAAAATTCAATACAAGTTTTCTCGTGAGGTTTATACACTATAGTAGTTAAAGAACAACCGAAAGTAACCTGTACCTATACAATTTAGACAATATATTATTATTCACAAGCCGCATAAGTTAATTTTACCCCAACGTGTTGACGCGTTTGTTAAATAATAATATCAAACAAATAACAAAACAAAAACATTTATTTGTGTAAACTTACATAATATAGGTTATGGTTATTCGATTATACATAATATACGGCAGTATTAATACCCATCATTTATAATAATTGATCGGTATAATTTATTTATTTAATTATAGAAGCGGAGGGCAGCAGTATTTAACGACCAGTTCTTCCACAGCAGATCTATATGATACAAGCGGCGTATTTCGACGGTAACCAAAGTCAGTACAGCGCGTGTGACTTGGGGAAACGTTCAAACTTCGGAGCGAACTCAGAATGAACGCGTACAATGACGGAAGTAAACAGATTTTGACGGATTTTCCGGCAAACACGACGGTCGGACACGAAAGTGCTGATCAAGCTTGGGATGAACACGTAAAACACACAACACTATACATTGCGGTCTATAGCTCCGCAACAAACCATTCGCCGGACGAATCTCTTCGTCCGGCTCCACAGAGAACAGCGTCTGGGAACAGTGGGAACTACCGCGGTTACCGTCGGGTTCGTCACTGCGTCACTGCGGTCGCCGTGGGTTAGTGCCATATCCTGGACACTATTTGCCCGGCGGACTGATGGTTTCGTCGTACAGTTTTTACACTCGGTGCCGTCATACTGCAGAGCTGCCATGTTGCACGTCGGAGTTGACTGCAGCACGTCGCGGTCGTCGGCTTCGACCGGTCTAACACATGGCAAAGATGACGAGATGGTTGACGACGACTCGATCTCGCCAACTTCTGCAGTGGCTGCAGGTGTCGTACCTGACAACTCAGTGGACGGTGAATCAGTCGTAACTTGCATCTCCACCATGGGTGTGACGAAATGTAACTCGTTATCGGGTACTTCGCGTCTGGGATTTACCGCGATTACCGCCGAGTTCGTCACTGCGTCACTGCGGTCGCCGTGGGTTAGCGCCATATCCTGGACACTATTTGCCCGGTGGACTGATGGTTTCATCGTACAGTTTTTACACTTGGTGCCGTCAAACTGCAAAGCTGCCATGTTGCACGTCGGAGTTGACTGCAGCACGTCGCGGTCGTCGGCTTCGACCGGTCTAACACATGGCAAAGATGACGAGATGGTTGACGACGACTCGATCTCGCCAACTTCTGCAGTGGCTGCAGGTGTCGTACCTGACAACTCTGTGGACAGTGAATCTGTCGTAACTTGCATCTCCACCATGGGTGCGACCGGAGGCAAATCGATACCGGGTACATCGCTTGCGGAGTTTGATCTCACAGGTATATCTGGCATGGATTTATATCGTCGCATAACTTGGGTCTTAGACTGCAACCAGATCTCGGGTGCATCTGCACCTGCGGACTTATTCTGCACAGTAAAATCAGGTGCCGATTTATGTAGCTTGTGCGCCCGTGAACAATTGATAACTCGAGATTCCAAAGTTTTCGTTTTATTTGCCCGTAGCTCGTCGAAAACCTCGAGCATTATTTCGGTGACGAACTGGATATTGGGTTTGGGCGAAGTCTCAAGTGCAGCAATATTCGACATATTGATCTGATACGGTTAAGTTAATGTTATACTAAATTACTAAACGAAAAGTACGTTGAGATTTTATATTGTATTATAAATTATCCGTAAAGTTCGTTGTAACAAATAGGTAGATACTGATAACTGATTTGGTAATGAATACGCACAGAAATGAATTATAATGTTTTAAACACTTACAAACACCCGTGGCAACCATATTTTTATAGATTTTTTTAAATCGGGAATGTATCTATATTATTTTTATTTATATTCGATACTATTATTATTTATTAAAATCGTATTCCTAATTCCTATGTTTTAGTTATACTGTTCAAGTATTAAATTGGTAGGCATAGGAATATTGGGTATAGGCGCATATTGGAAGTTAAATAATATTAATAACTAGCTGTCCCGCCCCACGTTGTCCAGACCAAAGATTTGTATTTTTAATAAATATATTTGTACAAAATGTATATACCATATTTCTTCTAACTATAATATTAATACAATATGTACCATTTAGATTGACAAAAAAAAATTACATGATGCACACAATATATTATGTAACATCATCACCTTATCGTGTCTAGCTGTGGGTATTAATATAAAACCGTGTAATCATTCACGTTTTGCACAGTTATTATTCAAATTGTTGCGTTTAGTGTAAGTCGTAGTTATATTTTTTGAAACATTAGATGTGTAGAGTTCATACTCGTCAATAATATACAAAACAAGTAATCTTTTTAAAATAGTTTTTAACAATTACTACAACGAAAACAAAACAATTGCGATAACTTAATATTAAGAGGACGCCACACCCGCATGTGTTGTCTCCGTCTTACAAATGTACAACATAGCAAAAACTCTTTTGCGAGGGACAACTTTTCTCGCACCATATTTGTCGTAGAACTACCAAATTTTCACAGCACTTAAAGAATAACTTTATCTGTGCAACAGCGTGCTCTTTTTTTCAATAACACCATCCAATCATTTTTTATAAGCAAATTAAAAAAACAAATGTTTAGAAGCAAATAACTTGTATTGTATATATGTTATTGAAAAAAAGAGCACGCTGTTGCACAGATAAAGTTCTTCTTTAAGTGCTGTGAAAATTTGGTAGTTCTACAACAAATATGGTGCGAGAAAAGTTGTCCCTCGCAAAAGTGTTTTTGCTATGTTGTACATTTGTAAGACGGAGACAACACATGCGGGTGTGGCGTCCTCTTAATGAAAAAAATTGGAGAACAGACAGATACATAACATAATATATTATTATTGGTCAGTAGAACGTAAAAAAAATCGGTACAAAATTGATTGTTTCCTTTTTAAGATAAATATTTTTAAAAATGTACATATTTTAGGACATGTTATATTTTAACCTAACCTACCTAGTATATATGCGTGCCTATAATTATTTATTATAGATATAATAATTTAATAAGAAAACAGTGGTTTTGGAATTATAGTTATATTTATCAGAACGATAAAATACAACCAGATTTTATGTAACTAATGAGCACAATTTTATTATATAGGTATTATAAAAAATTATCATACAACCTTTGAGTTCTAAACTGTCGAATTTTTTTCCCCGGGCTGTTTGTATAGGTTACGTACATACATTCGCGATGTACTTGTGTAGACAAATACGGCGTTACACTGCTGAAACATCAATAGGTGTAATACTATAATAATAATAATAATAATAATACTATATAATACCTGCTCGTGGGTGTGCGTAATATTGCAGGACACCGGACACGAAAACTAATCTGCTGGCAATCCGTTTCGACGGGTCCTCCACTGTGGTTGCTGTGCTGCAGCTGCTGCTGCAGTGCTTATTTGTTTTGGAACCAGTGGTCGTGGTGATCCAGAGATGTGTACGACAATAGAACATTGCAAAATAAATCATTGTAATAGGTACTGTAGCAACATCAGCAATAGATAAGTACAAATATAATTCGCACGACCATCCACTAGACCCGAGGGACACTAAGCAAAATTTTCGAGTCGTAGATCATTCGAGTTATCGAGGTTTTCGAATTACCGAGGTGCTGAGATAAAAGTCGTAAAATTTGCAGAACTTAATATTATATAAAATTTATACTTTATTAAAATAATATTTCATATAGTATTATCTTCTTTGTAATGCAGTGTGATCACGATAAGTGGAGACAGTCAATAACTATGTGCAGGCTTCATATATTTCAATTCTGCTTTTTTGTCTAACTAATAAACATTATTATACACATTTTCAAAAAAATTGACTATTTTCGTGACAGTTAATTTTGCGCATGTGCACAATAATTTTTTTTTTAAATGGCACGACCTATATTTGACCACAAATTATTTTTCTTTGTATTTTTTAATGCATTTTAGTGGTTGATTTCTTTTCTAAGTTAAAAAATGGCTGAGTTATAATAATCTGATTTTATGTAATTTGCATGAATATTTTTATTATTACGTTTTTTTTATTCTTACCTAAGTATTTTGTAATCTGTTATACCCATGCAAATAACATAAAATCAGATTTCTATAACTCTACCATTTTTTAACTTAGAAAAGAAATTCAACCACTTAAATTCATTAAAAAATACAAAGAAAAATAATTTGTGGTCAAAGATAGGTCGTGCCATTATCAAAAAAAATATTGTGCGCATGCGCAAAAATTAACTGTTACAAAAATTGTCTAATTATTTGAAAATGTGTATCATAATGTTTATTAGTTAGCC